CTTCAATGCAAATCTGTCGTTGAATTAAATGCCTCTGCAACTCAGGAAGGTCAAACGTAGTTAATATATGATGAATAATTCTTTTCTGGTATCCAAGATGAAATCTTTTGGAATCAAAGTAAATTATTTGGTCTATATGGATTGTCTGTTCAAAGATGTGGACTATTCTAATTTAGTAACAAAATAAGATTAGGAGTTATCTCCCATTATCTATCTATCTATCTATCTATCTATCTATCTATCTATCTATCTATCTATCTATCTATCTATCTATCTATCTATCTATCTATCTATCTATCTATCTATCTATCTATCTATCTATCTACAGAAGTTGAGAAAAAATGCAAGATCGTCGATGTCTTCTTCATTTGGTAATTTGGATGGGAAGGTTCTTTTAACTAAAGTTATGTTTAAAATATGGAAGGCGTTCTTTCAGAGTGTCAAGCAGAAATTTCTCCTTCAAATTTGAGAGGTCAAAAAATACTGGACCTTCGTTCATTATTCTTGAAAGAGTGATATCATCAATAAAGATAGAAACACATTTTTTCAAAGAAAAATTCAGAAAATCAAATAAATCTTCAGATGGAGCTTACAAAACACTGTACAAATGGTTTGAGGAATCCAAAGCTATAATCAGCTCACCCGATATCCTTTAGCTACAATTATATTCCCTCTTTTGATGCTGTTTTCTACCTTAATATTTAAGAAAGACAACAGTTCAGAACTTTGATTTACTTCTTCAACAGTGTGAAGGAGTTCTCCTTTCTGCTCGAAACGTATTCCTCTTGATGTAAAGTCAAACAGGAAAGATCTCACTGTCCTCGGAAAGATGTCCACTCCTTGGTGCTGTTAAATAAAGAAACAGTAATACATTGGACCCATTTCTGTGACAAATAAAATGAAGAAAGAGGGCACAGAATATGATATAAAAAAGGAATGAACATTTATCATTCAGGGATTAGAATCACCAATGAGATCATAGGATTTAAAATATATTTTACTACAACAAACTTACTTCGCTATTAGTGTTGATGTACCTAATGATTCTCAACCTCCTAAAAATTTATATACTTATGTGCACATATAGCAAATCATAGTGATAGTAATAAGCATGCAGTACAAATCAGTATGGGCTATTGAAACATTGGCATTGTCACGTTCTTTCAAGCTAGGGAGAAGGGCGTAAAAACATAGGACTATTTTCAACGCGTTTGAAGTGTGATCAATCGCCGCCGGCCAGTTTCAAGCGATTATGTAAGTTGCCAGAAAACTCAGCTCTTGGGTTCTCAGTTGTAACTTGCACCCAAGTGCTATAGATTAGTTGGAGATTAAAAGAAAGCCTGCAGGGTAAACGGGGTGTGTTGTACCCGCCACGTAGGAAGGCAACGAGAAACCCTGACAGCTCAGTTGAATGGATCAAGATCAACAACATTCAATCGGATTTAAGTCAGAGGGTGGGCTAAAATTACTATACCTCAGCAGATTGAGGAGTGCATCTGTCACGAATTATGATCCGAGAGAAGCTTCTTGTAAATTGTCGGGATACCCAGGACTAAGAAACGTGAAAAAAGAAAATAAAGCTTCAGAAAGTAGTTATTTGCTCGATTTTCTCAAAACATTACAGCATCGTACTTGTAAGTATTGACATTATGTTTACTCAATAACAAGGATTATTTAGAATGTAGAATTTACCTTGTTGTGTTTCATTTATGAGCTTATTTGAGACATCAATTTGAGTTGCGTAGAGAATTATGTAGATTGCTAGTTCATCAAAATTAATATAATGAATTGTTGATCGGTTGTTCCGTAGAAACCAGTACCTTAAATAATATGTATGTTAGCGTTTACTAGTTAAAATAGATGTTTGAATATATCAGATTATAGCTACTTGAATATTTCTATATTTTGGTATGTGTTGTGCTGTAAAGATATGCGTCTGATTATTGTGTTTGTCAGTATAATTATATTATGAGTATATACTGATGCGAAACAATTATGGTTGTTTGTATGTGAATAAATTATTTCGTGCTTTTATGACATTGTTTCATTGTTGTGTTAATATATTGTGTTTTACCATACAAGAGTGTATGGGTATTTCGGTGTGAATGGATGCATGACCGATGAAATTTAGTAGCCTTATCTGATTATAAGCTATATGGGTAGTGTGAGGTATGAGAGCCAAGAAACAAATAGTGTACAATCCTTGTGTTTTACATGAAGCTTTTGGGGGACAGTTCGAGAAAGGAGTTTCGAGTCTCTGAGAGAGAGAGAGAGAGAGAGAGAGAGAGAGAGAGAGAGAGAGAGAGAGAGAGAGAGAGAGAGAGAGAGAGAGAGAGAGAGAGAGAGAGAGAGAGAGAGAGAGAGAGAGAGAGAGAGAGAGAGAGAGAGAGAGAGAGAGAGAGACTGACTGTCGGTACTGTCAGAGTCGGCAAGTTGAAGTCGACTGATAGACGAGAGAAATAGAGGAGGGGGAGGAAAGGAGTCTGAGAGAAATGAAACAAGAAGGAGTAGGAGAAGGAACTTAGAGGGAATTAGAGAGACGAAGAGGAATCAGGAAATTAGTAAAAACCACAGACAGGGCGAAACTCTCACACTAGAAATCAGATGATGAGATAGGCTCAAAGGGTCAAACGAAAGTGGTGCATTTGAGAAATTCGAGTGATTAACTATTATTTGTTGATTAAATTGTTGTTATTGAATTTCACCCTTTGTGACTTTTATTTTTTAACCGTCGGCATTTCTGACTGGGGGGCTCAGAGCTATATACCAACTATTCACTTGCCCAACTTTTGAACCAATATGAAGCCTGTGTGGGCTTTTTGCGTAATCTAAATAAATATTGGAAGCACCCCACCCCAATTCCTTACAACCAAAACCCTCCACAAGCATCAATGAAATTATATAAATCTTCATTATTAAAAATTATAAGAACTGACACTCATTCATATAGCTAAAGTGAAGAAAATGACCGAACAAAAATCATAAGGGATAATATTTTCAAAAAAATGACCGAACAAAAATCATAAGGGATAATATTTTCAAACATTATTTATTATAATCTTTGCATGTTTTAACATATATCTGACACTGTCATTCAATACCAGTACGCAACAAATCATTCCGATAATTTACTCTGACAATGACCACAAATAACTTTTCAAACAATTATTTTCAAATGATTTTTTGTGGACACAATGTTAAGTTATAAGCGAACGAGTGTTCAAATGTTGTCAACTCTGACAACCATGCACACTGACCTAGCATGCTTCCTGCTGACCTCAAATGGTATTTTACCAGGCCTAATATAACACACTTTCACCAACAACAATGCAAGATATTTTCACAGATGGGTTAAAAGCCAATATGTTCCTTTTTCAAATGTCTGGCAGATGAATAAACATCAATAAATGAAAACACACTTTCATATTATTGCATGCCTGCATCTCTTGTATCACATGCATTGTCAATGATGCTACTTAACGACAGTATAATTTCCCAAGACACATCTTCCTTTCTGAATGACACCGACGTTGCATCCGTTACTACAGTGCCCGGATCTGGGTCACAGTGGGGGCATGTAAAGGCGCTGGAATAATCCACTTCAAGCAGATCCCAAAAGCTCTACCATGCTCACTTAAAGCCACCTTAATTAGTCTTCCCTGAATATCATATGCAACATCTGTGTACGTCTTACACAAGACTGTGTATTCTGTGAAGATTGTTGACTTGCGCACAATACAATTTTAAAACAAATAGTCACATATTTGATTAAAGAGGAATAATTAAAATATTTTTTGAACTTTGATGTGAGAGAGAGAGAGAGAGAGAGAGAGAGAGAGAGAGAGAGAGAGAGAGAGAGAGAGAGAGAGAGAGAGAGAGAGAGAGCAAGGGAAAAAATTTTAATCCATAATTTTCCTGTCATCCAGTTTTGAAATATTTGCAATTATTCAATTGCAATAAGACAAATAATGCAAGTGCGTGTTCGATTGCTAAAGTTACTATGTGATAACCCTTGGCTGATCGAACAGATATAGTGGTGCATTGTCCTAGCAACATTTATTGAATGTCATGAGTTGTTTCCCTTAGTATGTAATGCCACCGAATCCAAGCGTGGTGTATATGAGCCAAAAATGGGGCAAGTGACCTAAAATGGATACTTTTCTGTTTAATATCGGAAGTATGACTTGAGTAACAGAAAGAATACTTTTTTGAGTGATTCTATTTGTGCAAACAAGGACCAGCACTGGAAAATTGCTTATTTAGCAACAAAATGCAAGTTTTATGCTGTGCTTTTTCTTTGAGAACAGTGTGAAAATTTGAACAACTTCATTTTGAGTCGATGCAGTGGCTTGCTGCCTCATACAATGAAATTCAAGGGCCAGAACAGAAATATTTGCTTGATATTCCAAGTTGTATATGGCTATACTCTCGGAACCTTGGCTAGCTCATTTGAATCCAGGTGTTACAACTATAATATTGTGCAAATTTAAATACATTTTTGTAATAATTGCAAGAATTACTACAGAATATTGAAACCAATGCAAGCAACATTTTTCCCCAAGACTGATCTTTAAACTGGATACATCAAACCTATTTATTTTTATTCATCTTCTTCAGAAATGAACACGGAATCGAAACAATTGTTTGGCACAAAGCATGAGCAGTACCTTCAATTTCTACGGATATGTCTACAATTAAAGATTATATCAAACACGACCCAGAACAGAGCTAGTTAATAACAGTGATAATATAGTATTCATACACATGCGGTTCAGTAAAACAAATGCCATAGGGCTTTCATAAACTTTAATAAAGTAACAGAGTTCATTAACATAGCTGCTGTGGCTGAAAAATTAAAACCTAGTAACAAGGAAAGAAAACCCAATAAAGTGAATCTTTTAAATTAATATAATGCAATTTGCTTACTTTCAAGTTAAAAACTTGAATCTTCTAAGGAGGTCATGACACATGATGTATCAACCCATATTTAGAACCGCTCCGTTGGCCTAGTGGTTGCAGCGTCCGCCTCGGATGCGGGAGGTCGCAAGTTTGAACCCTGGCCGAGAAATGCCAAAAACTTCTAAAAATGGTACTAACAGCTACCTCACTTTACGCTCAGCATTAAGAGGTTAATGTTAGGTCTGGTCGGCCCGGTGTCCGGATAATGTTACTGGATGGGACATCATGCTACATGTCTGCGGCATGATGCCCCAGTGCAAGACATCACTATAAACTGCCACACTGTAAACATCGTAGCGATATGACTGAAAAATTGTTAAAGGTACGTTAAAAAACGCAGACATATCACAGACATATCTGTTTATAAAACTGATACATAACTAATTCAGGACTGTTTTATCAAAGTTAATTTGTGTCAGTAGAACAAATGCAAAATTCGCAAAGCCTGAATTATTTTTCTACGAAGACAAATTTGGTAACTAGAATAGGTTTAGACCAATAAGGTCGCACACAAAAGATCGCGCTTGAAAAGGCCACGCACAAAATATCGCCAAAAAATGACCGAAATGCTAATATCATCGCCCAATAAACATTTTTAATTATATGAATATTGATTTTATATATATATATATATATATATATATATATATATATATATATATATATATATATATATATATATATATATATGTATATATATATATATATATATATATATATATATATATATATATATATATATATATATATATATATATATATATATATATATATATATATAAGATAGAAAGACAAGAATTCTTTATTTCAGACTGAATAGTCCATACATCTAAATAAAAATACGATATAAAGTAAAACATTGTAAACATGAAAAAACATATATATATATATATATATATATATATATATATATATATATATATATATATCATGTGTACAAGTATACAGATACATTTACAACAATGAAGTGCGCCCTGCATTGTTAAAAATAAAATTAAGTGGCACATTTAATGAGTAATTTGTTCCATTTGCTAATAATATGAGAATTTAAATGAATGTCATTGTTCCAATGTGATTTCAATATACAGTTCTCACTATAAGATAATCTTGTTATCATTGAGAATACATACTTTCTCATAACTTCCTCAAAACTGAATACATTATAATTTACAAACATGTTGGAGGCACTGTTCCATCTAGTAAGACCTAATAGAAAGCGAAGACTATTATTATAACCAATTGCTAGTATTCTTTTCACACATTCACTAAAGTTTGTCTATAGTGGAGCACACTAAATAGTGCAGCAATAAGATTTGAATAATCTAATTTTGATACTCAATGAACAAGGCTTAAATTTACATTGAAGCATGTTTGTTCGAGTACACAAATATTGATAATGTCTCATCATATTTTCATTATCTGACTGATTGGATTTCAAAATATGGCCCAAATACATATAACTGTTGACATACGTAAGAGCATTGCCGTTAAGATGTACAGAGGGAGGTAATGGTAATTTAAAAGAAGTTAGCTGAAAGACCATGCATACTGATTGTTGTGTATTATAGATGATATCATTCTCTAATGCATATTGATCACATATCATCAATAATTTTCTTAAACCTGCGATAGAAGGACTTATCAGTGACATATCATCAACAAAACTAAAATTGTTAAGAAACAGCACATTTGGTGGCAGACTTAAGACTACATAACACTAGCCCAATATACGATTAACTCGTCTATGTAAATATTAAATAACATAGGGGAAATAATACCTCCCTGCCTCACCCCATTGGTTACATGGAAAGCGCTGGATATTGCACGTAATACAACTGTTTTCCATATTAGTTGACGAAAGTATGAACTATGTATACAGGTATTTTAATTTCCAGCAACTTTTTAAAGAGTGTCCAATGACTGACCCTATCAAATGCCTTACTAGCGTCTAAAAAGCATGCAAATACTGGGCTGCCATGTTCTACATAATAGCTGACGGTTTCCTTAAAGGCTCATCGATATAAATCTTTAGAATGTTGCTTTTTAAACCCAAACTGATTATCGGAGATTATGACTTCGCATCTTTGTAGTATGATGCATTCGAATGTTTTTGAGATAATAGTCGTACGAGCTATAGGTCTGTAGCTAATTTTGTCCGCTAAATCACTGTATAATGGTAACTTTTGTTAAATCATCTGGTACAATGTTATGCACAGACATACAACTAAATCAAGCCATTGTTAGCCCATGAAGTCTAGTATCTGAAACTTTAAAATGTTCCACATGTAAAACACCATTGTTTTGTCTTGTTATTTAATTTTGGATCTCAGATAATGTGATTACATCAATATAAGCAGTAACCTGAAGTAACATTCTTCTTATTCGATTCATTTATGACCCTATTCACTATGTCTTCAAAATGATTTTTACACATGTTGCATGTATTATTTTGACCATAGTACCCATCAGTACAGATTGGGAGTTTATTGAAAGTTGTCGTAGTACTTTATTTAACTTGATTCCAGAATTCATATTGGTCGACATTTTCAATTTTTTGTGCTAGTGAGTCTGCTCTATGTTTTACTTCGTCCTTCTTGCATAACTTAAGAGCATTCTTAAATTGTGCTCTTATTTGGCGCATTCGATTACTTAATTGTCCATGACGAAGTTTACCGTTATCACGCCATATTAGGTAAGCATTTCGTGCAAAGTCGTGTAGTTCTTTGACACAGTCATTCCAGCTTGGTATAACCCGGTGGCCACGTTTGGATTTTCTAGTCAATTTATTACTGGATTTCAATAGAGCTTTTACTACATCAGCGTATAACCCATTTATCTATTTCATATGTACCTGATTAGTGCAACCATGGCCGTTACAGATCGCAACACCAGGTAGAATCTCAATCGTGTTTAATAAAAATGCAGATGTCTGAGCATAATTCACTTTTTTGTCAGAAGTAAGGTCTGAACAATTAATGTTGTATTTTAAGTTTGAGAGTTCATTTCGGCAAGAATCCAATCTAAGAAGTAGATCAGTCTTGATAGTCATTGAAATGGGGCGATGGTCGGACCCTACTAGGGTGTGTTTGATTCTCATATCACTTATAGCAGAATGAGCAGATTGTGTAGAGACACAATGCTCCAACCAAGACACTGTATTGTGTGAATCACTGATGTGAGTAAAAAAAAATTGTGTTGTCAACTATTAGTTTTAAATCCGATATGATATAACCACATTCGTCATAGAATAGGCAACGTTCATTTCCTAAGGGAGTGGATTTGAGCGTATTAGCATTCCAATCTCCAATTACATATGCATTTATTGTCTTAGCATTTGCTACAATAGAATTAATTTTGTCCAAATAATCTACAAATCCCAAAAATTTTCCGCTAGATCACATGGTAAATAGATATTAACAAAAAGCAGGGACGAGTCCCTTGTATTGATAGCAATACCTATTAATCTGGGATAATCGAATTGTGGTACTTGTATAATACTTGCAAGAGATCTACGGTATAGTACCCCGACACCGCCGTAAGGTCTGCCTGTATGAATATCTTTAGAAGATTATATCGGCGATACCCCTGATCCATAGAATTTGTCGTGTACGGATGAGAGGAAGTCTAACTCACTGTCGAGAAGCCACAATTATTTAAGAAGCAAATATCGTTAATATCACATCAAGTTTTTATATTTTGTATATTTCTTGTTAATGAATATATATATATATATATATATATATATATATATATATATATATATATATATATATATATATATATATATATATATATATATATATATATATATATATATATATTATATCAAATATTTCCAAAAGAAATCGTTACTGCAATTTTTACAAAATTGTTTTAATTAATCTTGGCAATGTCCGAAGAGAAACATAACAATAGCTAATTTGTAGAGATAATAGAAGAAATTACTGTAATAACAGTAAATATTATGTCAACGTTTGCGGAAACATTCAAAACTAAAATGTTTGTAGTTAATTTTGCAAACTCAAATTGTAATGAATAACACATAGATAGACGGTAATTGGTCGACGCCCATGGTCAGCTGCAATAGTTTTGTTCCTATCGGCGGTGTCTTTGTATACCCGTTTTGCTCGTGGAGGTTGCACTCAAGCAACATATTGTTCATTTTGTTCATGTTCCGTACTTGTTTTAGTCCGTCGACAAGTAATTATTATGCGTATGGCTGCGTTTAAACGAGACATGTGAAGCCAATTACAAACCACAGAGCGGATATAGTTTTAAAAAACCTATTTTAATTGTCTGTTATTTCGATCTTATATGCAGCGATGTTATTAGCCAGTCGATCTTTTGTACGGCGACATTTTTTGCGCGACCTTTTCAAGCGCGATCTTTTGTGCGCGACCTTATTGATGGATACCAATAGAACATAGGGACAATTCATAAAGCCAATAATGTTCTATAAAATAAATTATGCCTGTAAAGAAGATTGACAGTTCATGGAGTCAGGTTGTTCTATAAAGACAAATTTTGTCCATCAAAAAGATACTCAATTACCTGAGAATATTCAATGAATACAAATTTGTCCATTATATATATATATATATATATATATATATATATATATATATATATATATATATATATATAGTTCACTAAGCAACACCTGACAAATTTTGTCCATCAAAACATATTTAGAACTTAATAAATTAGGACAGTTCTGAAAAAAGCAATTTTTTTCAGTAGAAAAGACGCACAATTCACTAAGCTAGGACTAGTCAAAGAGAATAAATTTTTATCTATAAACCAGATCTAAATTTCACTTAGCCAGGCTTTTCTATCACGACAGATTTTATCAATAGAAAAGTTGCACAGTTCATTAATCTGGGAGTTTTATTAAGACTAATTAGGACATAAAACATATCAACAATTATCTGAGGTGCACTGTTCTATGAAGACAAATTTTGTCCATTATATAGATTTACAAAACACTAAACAGTGCCTCTTCTTTGAAAAACTTTTTTATCCACAGATCAGGTGAAATTATTTCGTGTATATTAGACTATTCTGTTAAAACAGATTTTGTCTCAAATACCAGACTTAAAATCACTAAGCAG